AATCCAGAGGCCTCTCCCTCACTCCTCTAAAATGGCACTTTTAAGCTCCTCCTGTTTTCAGAGGTGTGCATGAACACATCACAGGTATCATCTGCTTATGTGTCTGCAAAGAAYAGAATATCAACGAAAGCGGACCTTCCCTCATCTCATTTGTGGTTAGTTATTTACACAGGGTATGCATAAAGAAGTTGAGACTTAGAATTATTTTTTTAGTGAGGGCACTTAACTATTAGTACTTAAAATAATGCAAAAAAGAGAAATCTTAATCACAGAACCTTAAAATACTTACAGTAATTTAAAGTATTACTTAGCATAAAAAATAATATTTAAGCTTCTGTCTCATCAGAGAGGAGAGGTCTCTGAGGCTGAGAAATAATACTTCTTGAGTAAGAAGCTCTCTCAGGCCAGTATCTTAGAGAACACCCCTAACATTCATTGGTTGTGCTGCTTTGCCRACTCTTCAGTTTGGGATCAGACACATCAATGATTTTTTTACAAAATAACTTGCTGGGGGTTTCCACTGGGGCTGCTTATCAAAACATCAGTGTGTGCTTACCAGCTGTAGCAGGGAGGGGAAGGAAGGGCAGCTGCTGGAGCCCTCCTTCCCAACAGGAACATGTACCGTAGCACAGAGTGTGACTTCAGAAAAATAACTGTCTGGGGCTTCTGTTACAGCAGCACCAGCTATCACTGCTCTGAAAACAGAGCTGCAGGCCTTTGATGTTTATGTTTTGCCCTAAAGTTTATGACTTTACAAAGTCTCTGACATTATCCATTTTTTGACACTGCTCTTGGCAAAGGGATGCCAAGTCACTGTCTCTGCAGTCTGGTAGAGTTCAATTCAATTTGATCATTACTGTAAGAAAGCAGATCAGCCCACTAAAGAAAGATCAACATTTTATGAYCATGTGAATCTGTAATTCAATGGAGCTGTAGCTCCGCTGCTTATAGGTTAGAAGGCTCAGTGCTGTGGAAAACAGCAATTTAAGCCAAGTTTTAAAATTCAGAGTATCTAACTGCAATTAGGATTATGGGCTTGGTGGTGGAGTAGAAAATACAAATATTAACTTATTTAAATAAACGTGGCGACTGGTATAAAGGAATAATGTTCCATTTTCTGTTCCTGTGATGACTCAGTCTTGACAAGTTGTTTTCCATAGTTCCCAAGGTAAAAGAAGCAGCTGCTTTTGGCCCTCACCTSGCACAGAGGAAAATTCCAGTGTCGAGACCAGAGCAAGAAGGTGGCTTATTTTTATTATACAATATTTATTTTCCTGTGTGTTGTATCTTTCAGTGACAACCTATGTTAGCCAGGTCAGAACCAGTTTAAAAGCCTTTGACATAAACCAAAGATTCTGTGAATATGTTAGAGGCAAAACCATCTGGCCAAACCATGCTACCAGTTCCAATGTCTCCTTTTCCAAGCATACTTTTCATGCATAGAAAGTTTCCCCACATTGGAACTTGACTCACTTGAATTTCACTTGAATAACTTCATAGTCATGAAAAAATAAAGTAGTTTCTTCTGTCTCTAAAATGAAAGCATGTTGCATAGCACACAGTAATCTTAAACAAACAAACGAGACAGATGTGCTGGTTGACATTTTTTTCCAATTTAGAAAGCAGTAGCTGCAAAAACAATGGATTTATATAGCAAAGCTCTCTAAATGCCATGTACTGCATGTCTCTGCTCATGATAAAGTGCATTAAAAGTACAAGAAGGATGCTCCTTTCTGAGGCAATTCAGATRGCTGACGTACTACTCTTAATCTGATCTGTCATGCTTGCATTGCACAGTGTTCCTTTGTGTGTGTAATGCTTTTCATCTGCACAGCCACCACGGCCATGGAATGCTCTGCCTGACACCCTTTTTCAGTGTGCTCTAAAGGTCAACTGATTTGGGTTATTCCCAGCTCCATGCAGTTGGAGTATCAGGTGCTGATGTAAGGGATTCTTCTCCTGGGAGGCCAGTTTCTCCCAATGGATAGAACTGGAACTTGAGCTGATTGCAGCTACAGCAGTGTAACAAATGGAGAGTGGAGAGCTCAAAAGCTGGCAGATCCCAAACAATTTCTGACGCTAGAGTTGAATATGAACACCTCCATGTATATTTGGGGATTTGCAGGCACTCGGTATACAGAAGTTACAGCAYATAAACTCATGTGCAGATGTGAGATTGGCAGTAAAAAGACACTGAGCTCAAGAAAGAATTACTCCATAAATGCTAACATTTTGCTTTTTTTGAGTTTCATCTAGGTCAGCACTATCTGAATTCTGATTATAAATAATTTTAGAATGATCTGTGCATTAATAACKGTATAAATAAAGAGCAAAAGGTTTTAACAAGACTTAGGATAYAGTGCTCCTATTATCTCTGCCAATTTTCTTTTTCAGTTGATTGCAGCTTCAGTCGAGGGGTATGTGACTGGAAACAAGATGCTGATGATGACTTTGACTGGAATCCTGCTGATCGAGAGAGAGGTATTTTAATATCTGTCATCTACATATGCTTTGATTTGATGGCTTACACCTCAAAAAAAAAATTAGAGGGGGGAAAACAGAATCCAGAATTTGCTTTTCTATCAGTGGGTTTTCTTTAAAAGAGGAAAGGAGGCAGAGGATGTTAGAAGTGGATATTGTTTCTTTGTAATATCTAGTAGCAAATGGTAATCAGCAACATATTTCAGCAAAAATAAATCAAAATGTAAGAAAAATTAATAGAACATAACTGTTCAGAATTCCCAACTACAAGGTGATCGAAACTTATGCAGCTACATGTTGTATCTCTCTGAGATTAGGACATTTAATCACACATCTGTTAATTGAGATGGATGTGGCAATGCWGTCACTCAGATGGCTTAGACATCACTGGGATAACTGCTCTGAAATCTCAGACTCTGAGAGACAAACTCAGAAAAAAAAACAAGGCCAATCAGGAACAATCAATACATGAACAGGTACCAACGGGAATCTGCTAAAACCTGAGAAAGAGCTCCCTGAGAGCAATGAAGGACTGCTGGGTGGGTGTACATAAAAAGGTGTGGCTCGATGAGTTTGTTTGAAAGGATATCTCTTGCCCTGTGACACAAGGAATGTTGCAGAAGTTGCTGCAGTAGTGATCAGTGGATCCTACAGATCCTGCAGGCTGCTTGCCCCAGTTCCTACAYGCACATTCTCTCCCTCTTCCCTCAGAATCTTTCCATGTTAGTCTTTTTTCACTAACCCTTCCTCTCCTGCTCCATATAATTCCCTAAATCCCTTCTCTACGCTATCAGTTCCAGGAAGACCTTACCCTGGCCTTATCCAGTCTCCCTGAAYTTACATCTGCTGATTATGACTTCATTTATGGGCCAAGATGTTTTATTCCTTTATAACTTTGTGTCTGTCTGTCACTTCATTGGTCTTCTGGGACTTGGGAAATAAGCTGTCAGTTCCCTTGTGAGTTTGTCATCAATGCAGAGRACAGTGAAGAGAATACTGAGCTAGCTCAAGTACTGAAATAATCTGACCACGGAGGCACAGCAGCATATTTCAGACTGTTGCATTTAAAAACAGATGGTTTTGCCTTTGAAAGATAGTGCAAGGAARAATGACTGTAATTGTCAGTGAAATATGAACTCATTCCCTCTGTAAACTGATCTGACTTCCAACAGTACAAGTTTATTCCTTGCAAAATACACTCCCTGCTGCTTTCCTCCAGTCTGATTTTAAATTATTCAAGCAAAYTAGCTTCAGCTTCCCCTTATTTTCTTAGCAAACATGTATTCAAATTGCTAATAAACAACTCAAATGCATTAAAGATGATTTTTTTTTTAAAAATTATTTTCTTTTTACAAGGTGATGGCTACTACATGGCAGTTCCAGCTTTTGTGGGACACAAGAAGGATATGGGGCGTCTAAAACTCCTCCTCACTGACCTCAAACCAAAGAGCAGCTACTGCTTGATTTTCAGTTATCGGATTGCTGGTGAGAAAGTAGGGAAGCTTCGAGTGTTCCTGGCAAACAAAAAAACTGCCCCTGTCTGGGAGGAGAGCAAAGGAAAAGATGAAAAATGGAGAACTGGAAAAATAGAGATATTGCAGGGGGCTGAAACGACTAACAGTGTAAGTACAACACAATTTATAAGCTAGTTACCATAACCAACAGGCCAATTTAATTTCCTAATCCTCAAGTATTCCAACGTTTCATAGGCACCAACAATCAAAAGGCTTATCTGAAATGGGAAACAGGAGCCCACAATTTAGGGGGCATAAAAATGATCACCTGATTGTAATTCAGAACTGAAGCACCTCAATTGATGCCAGCAATTCTGTCATTTTGTAAAAATAATGCATCACTTAATAMATTAACACAAATAATCAAAATCTGCCCTTAATACCTTACGCAACAGAAGCATACACACATTCCCGGAAAAATGAAAATTTTCCTTTTCATAGAAGAGGGTGCTCTCAAAGCACACTAAACCAGACCATTAGAGCAAAAGGAGACATCACGTACAATCAAGGCGGAGGCCATCACCTTAGGAGAGGGGCATTTCAACAGGGAACACTGTGCACTGATTTATGCCTGAAAACTGCCTCAATCAGGACTTCAGTGAGTTTCTCCTTGAAATCCTGGGGCCTGGTTTCTGTTTCTGCAATGGAACCTTTTCCGTGCTGTGTAAAGGCTTCTACTGTATAATTGAACACAGTGAATATAAAGAAAATGCAAGTCCTTTTCAAGGTACTTTGCACAGCTGGAATGATGAAGAGAAGCCCTTAAATAAATGAGAATCAGACTACAAAATAAAGCCCCAGACATCCTATGCATAAAAATAAATCTCTTCTTTATATATGGTAGATGTACTATACTCAATTCACACRAGAGAGTCTAAACATATTTGGTATACACACACAAAACCTGATGATTCAAATAGATCAAAAATGAACAGTTGCAATGTCTTCAATAAAKGAAATGCATCACATGCTGTGATGAAACTACATTATTATAAGAGGATTTCACTCGATTTGCATTTTTGTACAATAAAAATAAATAATCTTATTAAAGTAATCCATCTGGCATCATAAATCTCTGCAGAGATTTAAATCTAGTTCAAATAATGCACAAAAGCTTTAAAAATGGCAAAGAGTCAAGTTATTAAGTCCTGTGTTGTAATAAAATATTCTTCATATATAGCATTATAACTAACATTTGCTAAATGTTTGGATAAAYTGCATTTTCATTCTTAATACATATGTTTTCTTACAACAGGTCACTTTTGAATCAGAACGTGGGAAGGGTAAAACTGGAGAAATTGGAGTGGACAATGTTATACTAATTTCTGGTCTATGCCCAGAAGATASCTGATAATGGACATTTGAGTATACCAGATTTAATCCTATTTTTCACATTTGACTTATTAGTATTTTTGTAGTCCTCTCTTTATGAAAAAAAAAAAAAACCAACTATAAAATTGTGCCTTGAATCAAATGCAACAATGCAAACAGAAAAACTGATGTGCAAGATGCAGATTACAATTTTTTGTTAATTATTCTAATTCTACTACATACATTGAGTGTAATACTACTGTATTTTATAATTCAAGGTCGGGGTTTCTAAAGTRTTATTTGTCTAGCTCTTTGACAAATTCTACATGCTTTTATTTCTTAAAAATCTTCTCGAGGCTATTCTTAAGTCTTCTGTTTCCTTCCTTCTATTCTACAAGAACATAAAGCAGTATTTARGAGGATGTTACTACTTTTGGTGACATAATTAATTTCTTACTTAGTGGGTAGGTTGTTCCAAAAATCAGTATTCATCATCCTGTGTGCAGTAAGGCAATCAAACACAGAGCCAAGGTATTTGTTTATTTAAATATTAGTGCAAAGATGGGTGCTCGGTGGTAAATCCAGAAAGCCAGCATACCAAGCAGAAATGATGACCACTATTTATGCTGTTATTCTTGATATATTCCACTTATCTGTAYGTATTCAGTGTTTACTACTCTACTATTGCTGAGTTGTGCTGAGCTGGCTTCTTTTCTTAGGCAGCCTGGTAGTGCTCAGTGTTTACTATTGTATTATTGCTGAGCTGGCTTTGTTAATTYCTTTTTATCTTGCACACTCTTCTTCCAAAATTTTGTTACCCCTCTGGGTCTGTCATCTTTGAAGCATGTCAAGTCCTAAACTCTAATAAAAGCAATTCTRTTGACAAATAATTTGTCTTAGACATCAGGTGAATATTCATTTTATTGAACAAGTCAGAAGAAAGTGAGAAGCTTGACTTCCTTTCTGATGGAGCTAAGCAAGTTGTGAGTTGATTCATGTCTTTGAGGAATATTTTCATTACCAATAAAGTATGTGAAATACCTTTTTTGCCATCAGTGTCTTTGAGTCACACAAATCATTGTTAAGAAATTATCCCTTTACAGTTTTATAAGCATTAAGTGTTCATCATTAACAGATAAAGTTACCAACTGGCACAGAAAAACAAGTGCAAAAAGAATGACCCATTATTAATGTTTAAGAAACTTCACATAATGTTCTGACCTTCAGGAACAAAAGGCTCCTGCTGGATTGCAGGCCTACTTTACCCCATTAGAGGTGAGAAAGAATGATTTTCATTGTCCAGGAGACAGTATGACCTAGTAGCCACAGAATAAGGCTCCTCTTACACAATCAGAAAAAAAATAATCCTTGTTGTGAGTTCCTTCATGACCCTTCAAACACCAACAAAAGAGGTGAGGATTATCCACCAGCACCAGAAGCAGGAAGGTGAGCACAACTTTACTAGCACAGACCAGGAGCTGCCACCATTGCTGTATTTGCCTGTAAAAACAAGTGCATGTGTATGTACACACACATTTGAGAAGGGACCAGAATCCAGGTTGCATCTTTTCTGAAAGGAAGTCAAGTGACAATGCTGTGGAGGGCAAGAACATTATTTTTGTCTCGTGATCTCTGAGGAATGATCTGGATTCCAAGAGAACAGAGAAGCCCATGGAAAAGCCCTGGTTCAGGCAATGTTCAGTTCAATATGTGTGCATACATTTTCTTCTTGGTTAGCTCTGTGTATCCCCTTCCAGGCTTGTTTATTACTGTTTATTATTAGTGACTTTTTAATTTAGTTTTTGTATGAAGAAKGGGACATCCAAAATTATTAAGTACAATTTTGTAGTCTAACACTAAAGAATCTTGAAGAATTCAGCCTATATGAAACTGAGCTTTTTAACAACACTACACCAGTTCAAACACCTTGAATTGCACCTATGAAGCAAGTCAGGGATATTTGAGAGATTTCTTGTTGAAACAGTATTTTTGCACTGTGCACACAGTTGAGGAAAGGGTAAGCAAAGCTGAAATATCTGTAAAGTATACCATGGCTATGTAACTTGGAAATGATGGGTTTTTTGTTAGAACTGGCTTGTGTTACAAAACAGATATTCTGAGAAGTGTACATGGACTTCAGCTTTGACAGGTCAATCTCCTTCCTGGCGTCTTTGGAGTTGCTGAGGAAATTGCAGAAAAAGGACTTGGGAAAAGCAAACTCTTTAATCTTAAGGCAAAAACTCTGGGCACTTCAAAGTGAGGGCAAAGTTCCTTTGGTATCAAATTGGTTGCTGACTGGAATTGATCTCAGGATGCCTGAATAACCTGGTCACAATGAGGCAGAAAAGCGAAACAAGTATTTTCCTGGATTCACTCCTCCTTGTMTGACTGACGTTGAACTACTCTTACYGAAGATCAAGCAAAAGAAAGTTCAGTTTTACTTAACTAAAATTCTGCATCTAGCTTCAAACAGCAATAATTTACGCAGTGACTCTAAATACTAAGAAACCTAAGAATCATTACAGTCTTGAGCACTGCAGTGTAAGTGCAAATGATGATAGTGCTCCACATAGGAGCAAACTGAATCCACCTAAAAAAGCACAGCTGGGCATTTCTTGCATGGGCAGATACTGGGCATAAAAAAATAACTACTGCCTGTGGAAGGCATAATATCTAAAGAGTATTTATTTAATACACAAAGAACAGAGAGAAAAACACAACGAACATGTCTGATATGGAGATGATATTTATTGTCAGTTGAATTGTAGACCACTATGAATCATCACTGGGACAAATACTTTAGTGATAGAAATCCATCCAAAAGTCAAGACAAAAAGATTTTGCATTTCATGGAAAAAGTAAGAAAATTATTTGCATAGATCAGTACAAACTAACTGTAATAGCTGTGACAAGGCTTTCTGTAGTATATGCAGAAATGGCTTCCCATTAGTTTGCAATGGATCATCATACACAAGATAGTTTGCATCATAGCAGATCATAAAAATAATTCTAGCATAAGGCCTGAATTGCAAAACTGAAACCTTTTTTGTTGTGAATAAATTCAAAGATAACTTCTGCAGAAGCAACAAAATAAATCCATACTGTATGGACGGTCATATAAACCACATCAGTGCATCAGCAAATTAACTGGTATTGTTTGCAACACTCACTCTGAAGATGGAACTGCTAAGGGCAAAACCTACATGTTTCTCCTTCAGAMAAAAACAGTTAAAGGGCATTTTATGCCTGTAGTCATTAATGCCTCAAAATGTTCCTGACAGTTTTCCATTACTGTGAAATRTGAACTCCATTATCTGCTTAATTATTTTAGACAGCAAGGAAACTGCACTGGGAGTATCTGAGAAAGTTACAGYTATGCTGTAATCAAGTGTCTTGAACTTTGATAACATTATTTGTAACTCTTAAGTCTGATAACAGAGAGTATGCTGCCTACAAGTTAATGGAAAGAAAAGAGCTTCTAGATAATTGCCCAAATCTATACYGCATCCTTCAAAAGCTACTTMACAGATGTGATCRCTTAATCTGTTAAACAGATTAAGGTTTGAATCACTTTTCCTTCATCTGCCAAAAGAACTAACAGAGGCATTTCATTCTGACAACGGTGAATACGTGGAAATGCTGAGGCACGTTCCCAAAAGATGGCTATCTTTTAACCCGCAGTTGAAAGTCAGCTATGTTATATCTTAAAAAATTGTTCCCAAATGCAATTTTTCAGGATCACAAAGATCAAGATAACGAAGAGAGGTTTTCAATGACTGCTGCTCATATTTACTTCCTAATTGCTGTATTGTTAATGACAAGAGTCATTAAGACCAGTACACCTGCATGTACTGGAGGTACTGTAACTCATGACAATACATTGATGGACAGGTAAATAGCAATGAAGACTGAATAATAATTTACTTGGTCATATGTGCAACTGTTACATTAAAGCTCATCACAGCAGACCTGACTTCAAAGTTTGATTTCAACAAAATTAGACACGCATTCTCTCTGACCTTTCCCAGYTCTTCATGAAGGGCACATTACACAACTCTTGAGAGCACTGATTATTATTTTTTATTTGGGGAATACAAAGCTGGAGACTATTTAGCCTTCTGCGATTCAGTAAATTTTTTTTTAATATCCTGATACACTGTAAACCTCTCAATTTCTCAATATTTCTGTAATGTCTTACAGCAGTTTCTATTTCAGATATATTTCTGAGCAGAAACGTCTCTTTCAACAGATTTCAGAAATAATTTTAAAAGTGATCCTTTTGGATCCTCAGATTAAAGCTAACTTAAATCAGACATTTAGAATGTTTTATTAATTAATCTAAAATGAGAGGGAAATATTTCAAAGATAAACATTACGTAAAGTAATACAACATATGAAAAACAATGTATTTGATGCTGACAGAAATATGGTCTGAGTTAAAGGAAATAGCATGTCCCTACACTTGCCTTAAAACAGCATTTAATTATTTTTTTCATATGCTTTCTTTTATTTCCATGGAAAGAGAGTGCTTCTCCAACAAGGTGGATGGTTTGCAGGAGCACTAAATAGCTCCTCAGGTATGTTCTGACAGGGCCGAAGTCCAAGTTCCCCCTCAAATGATTCCCTTGAAGAGCTTGGGAGTCAAAATGTTCCAAGAATCACTTCCAGGAGGCACTTCACATGCAGAAACGCCAAGTTTTTATTGTGTAGAGGAGGAGGTGACATGTTAAATTTTCTGTTGCTTGTTCTTTAGGCAGACAATAGCAAAGTTAGCAGCTCATTCAGGAACGTGAAATCTTCTTCCACAGCTGACTGCCATGCTCCAGTGCTTTCTGCTGCTGTACAGCAAACACCAGTGTTTAACTTTGTTGCCCAAAATCTGTTTGCTGATCTGGGCACTTCTGGGGCACAGTCAGTAAATCTGACTGAGGCAGCTAAAGCAGACAGCCAGTCTGGTCCTCGGTTTCAGGCTGATAGCAGCTTAACATTAAATTCCTGGGTTTTGATTCACTGCAGGTGAATTACAATTATTGTAATCACTGTGTTTCGACTCACTGCAGTATTATACTTTCTTGCTATATTTGATATCTTAATTCATGGTATTTTTGTGTACTACATAAGGATTTGTCTTCCCACTTGAAAATGACTCAATTTAAAATTATACAATTGACAGAATTTATCTTTCTTTCTGGGTACTCTATAATCAATTTAAAATCAGACYTGCTGACAGGATAACCTTTAAACAAAGAAACCCTAAACAGAAGAAAGCTCTCTGGAAAGAATTACAGTGGACCATGAAATGAATGTCGKAGGTCCTGTTATGCCATGTTTATGAATACCTGCAGGGTCAGTGACTCTACCACCTCCTTGGGCAATCCATTCCAGCATCTAATGACCCTTTCTGTGAAGAAATTCTTCCTAATGTCCAACCTAAACCTCCTCTGGCAAAGCTTGAGGCTATGTCCTCTCATCCTGTCACCAGSGGCRTGGGAGAAGAGGCCGACCCACAAGTAGCTACAATCTCCTTTCAGGGAGTTGTAGAGACAGRTAAGGYCTCTCCTGAGCCTCMTTTTCTYCAGGCTAAACATCCCCAGCTCCYTCGGCYGCTCCTCMCAGGACYYGTKMTCCAGACCTTYCCCGGCTCCACTKCCCTGCTCTGGACACGCTGCAGCACCTGGACAGAGGTGTGGCTCCAGCGGTTCCGAGCACAGGGGCAGAATCGCTTCCCCGGTGCTGCTGGCCACGCTATCTCTGTTACACCGGGACGTGGTTTGTCTGCCCGGGGACACCACAGCGGCGCTGCCCGAGCCCGGTACCCGCCAGCGCTCCGGCAGCACTCCAGCAGCGGCGGGGCCAGCGCGCAGCCGCCCGGGCCACAGCGGCGCGGAGATGGCGGCGGAGCAGGAAGCGGGCGGGAGGCGCTGTGCCGGGCCCCGCTGCGGAGGTGAGGGCTCCGAGGCACGGGGCGTGCGGATCCAGCGCTCTGTGTTTCGCCGGGGGCAGCGGGAGTGCAGCTTCCCCGCCTCGGTGGTGCAGGGGAGCCGCTGCCCTCGCCTTGGCGCTGGCGGTGAGGTCGGGGGGGGAGTCGTAGGAGGCACGAACCGCTCAGCTGCTCCCTGCCCCGGTTTGCCCTTCGGTGCGGTCAAGCCCGGCTGGCTGAGGGGCCGGGGGGAACGGGGAGGAGCTGGAATAGCGCCCTGGGAAGCGGGAGGTTGGTAGGTAAGGCCGTGCCTGCTCCTGCCCTGGCTGTGCCTGCTTCTCCTGCCCTGGCTGTGCCTGTTTCTCCTGCCCTGGCTGTGCCTGTTTCTCCTGCCCTGGCTGTGCCTGTTTCTCCTGCCCTGGCTGTGCCAGGGGACTGAGGGGGGCTGGCATTTCGCCGCTAAGCGGGACAGCAGTGGGTCAAAATTAAGCTAGACGGGTCCTGGGGTGTGGAGGAAAAACGGGTGTGAGGAGCCAGGGGAGTTTTAGGTTGGACATTAGGAAGGATTTCTTTACAGGGTGATTAGATACTGGAATGGAGTGCCGAGGGAGGTGGTGGATTCACCTTCCCTGGGGTTAAGGAAATATTGGACGTGGCACTCAATACCGTGGTCTAGTACACAGAGGGGTGTTCGGTCACAGGTTGGATTCGGTGATCGCAGAGGTCTTTTCCAGCCTAATTGATGCTGTGATTCTGTGAAGTTTTAATGAAGGGTTTGGAGAAAAACCCACAGAGTTAGCGTGCCCGTGGCATTCTGCATCACAATCAGAGAGTGCACTGACCCACCTATTTCCTGGGAGCGACGGGAGGCAGATTTGCAGGCCGATCTCCCCCAGGTTTCGTGGGCTGTGACCGAGATGGAGGTTCCAGTGGTGATGCTCAGCCGCTGGTGTCGTGAGTCTGACCCCAAACCTCGGACAGACAACCTGTCACCTCTGGCTGACTTCAGCGCCGAGCGAATGGTAGCTGCTTCCAAATACACACGGCTGGGCTTCAGCTCCCAGCTGCTGTCACTACCCTTGTGATTTATATCAAAAGTAGCTGTAATTCCACTCACAGAAGAGGCTTACCTTTGAAATTCCAGGATGGGTGTCTGTGATGGTACTTTTATGGTAATTATTTGTGTATTTGTTATATTGGTCTCTATGCAGTACTGATGTCTTGAAATAAGACATATGCTGGCATAACTATAGAAAGGAGTTAGAGTTCACACTTCTAAATGTAGTATTATTTTAATACTTAAATATATAAAAATACATTTCATTCCAGTGTATTTCRTCTCTTATTTGAACCAGTACATCATGTGTCTTTGATCAAGACTCTCTCAAGAAATTATGTACTTTCACTTTTAAGTGTTCATGTTTTTAGCATGAGGAATTTTAGCAGGCACTAATATTATTTTGCAAATACCATTTGTTTATATCATACTCTTTATCCATTCAGGGTGGATGGCCTTTTCAGGAGCGTATATACTCTCTGGCATACAAAGGATTTATTTTTAAAGGAAAAAAGTTTTATAATTGTTCTGGGGAAAACCTGTAAAACAATAATAAAGTGATACTTAATCTATGTAGGGCCCTTGCAATGGAATGACAAATAGAAATAATACAGAGCCATGACTTAACTAACAAAATGAATGTAAGGCAGTGAAAATACAGTGTTCATCTGACAAATTATGTAGAGTTTACAGAAATTCATAAAGCATGTTTTTATAACTTTTATGTTACATTTTTRTATGAATTTGTCAGCATAGTTTTCCATGAAAAGACACACTGCAAACTGGACATTTACCTTTGCTTGTAGYGTGCTGGAATTGAAGTCCTTGCTAGCTCTATATGAATAAGAGTAATTTTTAAAGCTATTTAAAGCTTAAAACATGCAAGGATGTGTGCTCAGGAGAAATAATTGCTTATTTCTCTCAAAAATTATTAATATTTTCTTTCTAAACTATTAAGTAAACAAATATCCTTTGGATGGATATGTCCTAAGTTTTTTTTTTACTTACTGAGTTAGGCTTCTGTCTTCAAGACAGTCTGTTTTCTTTGACATTTGTGTCAATGCAGAAACTCACTGAAAGAAGGAAGCGTGGCCCACTTTAGGAAAGCTTTCTTTGGACTGAGGTCTGGGTCTCAAATCGATACATCTGCAAGAGGATATAAACAGTATTTTTAGAGACTGAAAAACAGGTGGACACACAAAAAAGTCCGAGGAGATCTCTCACTTAAAAGCCAACATTAAACCTGCACCTTACAACATGTTCTTCTTTTCAGTARGTTTAAAAAGTGCTAATTCATTCTATTTAGGTAAACGAACAAGAAGTTTAAGATGAAATTACAAGACAGTGAGGAAAGCTGCAATGCGAGGAATGAACATGAATGGTAACATCTTTATAGGTAAACAGGGAAAGAATTGACAGTCTTTTGTAGTTATGATAGAGCATGTAAAACTGAATTTTTTTCAAGTACTGGCCCTTGGAGCCATGTTTTGCACAATAGCATAACCCTTTCTTTTCAAAAAGTATAAACTCTTAATCATTTTGTCTGTGGTGGAAAGATGGGAAGACTAGAGTCCTACAGGTTTAAAAGAAATTCAGAATCGTTCCCATTTTTTTACTTTAGGAGCATTAGTGTATATGCCAATCTCAGTGTATTGGGAATTTGGAATTATGATTTCCCAGTGTTTGGAGGACAATGTTATGAATGCTTCTTGTGCACAGACATTGAGTAGAGAGAGCAGAGCAGCTGAGTGATACAACCTCGATGGTGTTGAGAGAGCACTCAAACATTTAATGAGCTGAAACTGTTAAGTGTATAAGACAACACAGTTAATGCATGTTGAAGAAACTGGCTTCTACTTGGAGATGTCGCAGCCTTCCTGAAACTGGCTGGCTTGCTGTCCAAAGTGATTGGAAATGTGAACTTTTGCATCCCTCCAGGTGAACAGTTTAGGAGACTAAACTGTATTAAATAAAAGTAATTTAATAAATGTTGGCACAAATCTGCTTAGATCACATTAGTAGTACCATGTTTCTTGGGTGAGGAAGAATCTTCATAGAATCCAATTGCTGTGGAAAAATAGTGAAACATTGTTCATATTGTCAGATTTAACAATAGATTTTTTGTTCTGAAATCTGTTACTGTTGGAAAAATGTRAATGTTAGGAAATGAAGCAGTAATTTTAAAATGTGCAAAAAGATTTTTTTCACACTGAAGTTTTAGTTCAGCATTGAGGCTGGTGATGTTACAGGAGTGATAATAGCATTTTCTGCTTGATTGAGCTGAAGTTTTGTTCTTTATGATAGAGACATGTTAGGAAATTGCCAGATGTGTTTCTAACAAGCTTGGATTTTGTGCAGATGATAAGCTACACTCTTTAGCTTGCAGGAGACTGTTAATATATAATTGCAAAAATTATTGTATGATTTGTGAAAAATTGTATGCAGTTGCAACAGAAAGCCTGAATCCCATGATAAACTTTCATGTAGCAGGTCAGCTTAATTAGTGCAAAATATGTATGTCACAGTCTGTGTCTCTTTTGTAGCTACGTAGCATTGTCATGTTTGAGTCATCTGCTTAAGTTTCATTCAATACACTTCTTTTTCTATGTATTTGTCATTTGAGGCCAGAATGGGAATTCATGTTTAAAAATGTGCCCTGTGTGTCAAAAGCCTGACTTTAGACCTGCTTGCAGCCCCAGCTAGTACCTCATACTGACAAGTAGTGAAAAGTGGCTGATAGAAAAAGGGATTCCTCTGCCAGTTTTGACAAAGCTTTGTCATGAAAATTTGAAAAACCAGAGAGCCCCATGGAATAGTTCTGTGGCGTTGTGCCCAAACTAGGAAACAGATTTATAGTTAGTTGATATTGAAAAATAATCTGGTTGTAGATTAGAGAAACCCCACAGGTGTTTCTTTATGTGAAATAGTACAAATTTTAAAGCAAATAGACACCCACATTATTTATACATCATTACCAATTAAAATGTTAGTTACAAATCTCTCAGAACGATATATACATTTAATTATTTCCCCATTGAATCGTAATGTTTAATGATGTATCATGAGTSTGTATAACTGTCCTATTGTGGAACAGATTAGCTAATACCTCCACTTGACACTTGTAATCTGTAACTTGTTGTAAGTAARTTCTGTAATTTTTTTAACTCCTTAAAATTATTTTATTAACAAGGTCAATGATATCAATAGAAATAAAGATTTTGTAACGGTGCAATAATGCATTACTTGTAATATTTTCAGTGTTTCAAATAGTTGGCTACTTAAATCAAAAGAAAAATTCCCATGGTTAAGGAAGACAGGATATAGGATATAAGCTAAAATATTTTCCAGTGTGAATAAATAAAATTGTAAATTAAATTATTAAATTGAGCCATTAGCAAGGTAGTGTCTCTGCTGGGATACATATCCTCTCTAGCATCAGCTGAGCATCCTAGGACCCAAAACAGCTGTAGCTGTTCAATCTAAAGAATTTTCTCATTTAGTTTTTGCCAAGAAACAAGTCAAGGTTTAATTTGTCTGATGTAGCTGTAATATCTTGAACCTTTCCATGAGCTCTGGCTTACATRCTGATGTCAAATGAAGCCAGTGGTTAAGCAGTCTGCAAAGGACAACAGCTTTTCTTATCTCATTAAGTCCATGCATGTTTGATCTTATTAGAAAAATCTGCTGACAACTCTGCATTGGGGTTGATCCCTGAGGCTTGAGAATTTCATTATGCACTCTATTGATTGTTTTATGTTGTTTTTTTAAAAGAAAATAAGAATTCTCTTTTAATTAAAAATAGAGGATATAGGAGAATCAAGTCCAAATGCRGATTAAAAATTGGTYTTGTAGAAGAGGCTACTCARTGCCTCTTCTCATGAATGTGATCTCTGCCATCTCTCTGTAATTAAAGCAGTCACTGATGTGAAAGATGCAGAACAAAACTACTTCTCCTTAGTAGTACTGT